CAGCAGGAACTATAAAACTCCAATGGCAAGACAATGGTCAAGATGATTTGTATAAGTCTGCTGCAGCTTCTAGTTGGAACTCTACTCTGAGTTGAAGGAAGTGCCCACCTTATCATGTCCGCAACTGCACCTTTTCTGGATAGGCAGTCCAGTGGTGTGGGTACTGTTGGCCAACAGGATTATGGCTCATCTGCTTTTCTGAAGACATTTCCTTCATTCAGGTGGTTCCGTTAGACCACCCTTAGGTGGTCCTCTGCCTGGATCCATTGGGGCTACCCAAGGGGATACAGGTTTATTGATCAGTGGCTGTCACTCGCCATTCTGGCATTGGCTGTACCATCTACGCATCCAGTGGCCAATCCAGCAGGGGACTGGCCAGACACAGCAGAAAGATGAACCTGGAACAAATCATCAAGAATGTCCCCACAAAGAACAGACTCACTGTTCTCAATGATTTCAGTGCCTGTGTGAGTAAGGACTGGAATCACTGGAAACACATCACTGGCCAACACGGCACAGGTAACCTCAACAAAAATGGCCAGTGTGTCCTTGAGCTTTGTGCCTCTGGTAATCTGACAGTCTCAAACACCTATTTTTCTGGCAGCACCTGCAGCAAGGTCACATGGAAGCACCCCTGCTCAGGACACAGTTTGACCTCATCCTGATCCATCACAGAAACATTCACAATGTGCAACGTGCTCAGTCAATGCATAGTGCTGATTTCAACATTGACCATGCTCTTGCTGGAGCCAAATGATCCCTCAAAAGATCCATCATGTGAAGCCAAAAGGCAAACATTACTAACATGAAGAACTCTGACACTTGTGCAAAGTTTCTATGTGCACTTGAGCGTGTTTCTGAAAATGATCATTGTGATTCCCGATTCTGATACCTTGTGGGAAAATTTCAAGAACAAGACCAGCCAGCTCGCCTAACTCTACTTCAACAACCAAGTCCAGAAATCTCAAATTCAAGGAGGGTAAGGCTGCAGTCCAGAAAGT